ATGGCTGTGAAGTTTTGGAGAGAGCACTCGGCATATTAGGAGCCTCATTTGCTTTGGCTGCTGCTGGGGCTTGAACTCACAGTCCGCAGCTCTCACTCAGCTTGTTGTTGCCTGAGGTTGGTGCTCTACGACTTGAGCCACACCTCCACTTCTGTCTCTGGCCTGGTTAGTTGGAGATGAGTTCTTGGCTGCGTATGTTCTGTACTGACTTTGAACCACAATTCTCAGAGCTCAGCCTCCTGAGTAGCTAGAAGGACGGGCGTGAGCCTTGGGCGCTGGGCCGCAGGGATTGTAGCCTGATCATAGAGAAGTCAGTGTGTACGGCTGTGTCAGCATGGAGGTCAGGATGACAGGGGGCGGGAGCTGAGAAGGTCATGGTGGCGATCCCGCCTTGTCACACGCTGGCTCTGGGAGCCCTGGGCCGACTGGGCCTCTGCGTCCTCATCTGTGGGATGGAGGGGGTCTACTCTGCTCCCCCGAGGAAGGGGACAAGATGGGGTGCTGAGTGCCGGGTACCTAGAGCCACTGCACTGTGGATGGCTGTGCAGTAAGAAGACAGGAGGGTGGAGAAGGCAAGGAGCCTTCATCGCTAAGCCTTTCAGCCTGGGTGAGCACTGGGCCTTGGCTCGTGTCCTGGCTGAGGATGGGAAGAGAGGGGGACTTGACCTCTGACCTCAGGGGAAGGCTGAGCCCTCCTATTTACCCCAGAGAGGACATGGAGGAAGAGGGGAGCAGCAGCCAGGGTTGGGGAGGGAGAGGTAGGCAGCCACGGGGGCAGTAAGAACATGGGTGTTGAGATCTCAGCAGCTGCTGGGATTTGGGGCTGGACAGAGGGCGTCCTGTGAGTTCACAGGATGCTGCTCAGCAGCGCCTCCGTCTCCATCCACTAGGTGGCAGTAGCACTCTCCTAGTGCAGCAATGCAAACATTGACCCGGAGGCAAAACCTCTGATGGCGGGGTGGTGTTACGGGGTGGGAGAGAGGGCTTCGAGCACTTCCTGCAGGTGGGCAGGTGGGCGGTGAGCGGCCTGGTGAGCCCTGCCAGGTCCCAGTGATCACATGACAGTAATGTGGCCAGCGCGGGTTGCTGCCTCCTCCGTTGGGCTGTGGGCATTGGACCCCTGCCTCCTCCGTTGGGCTGTGGGCTGGGCACCGGCTGGCATCTGTGTGCCTGTTGTTGGGCACAGTGCTTGGTGTGCAGTAAGCACTTAATAAATATAGCAGTAGTGTAGGGCAAACTTGCAAGCAACGCAAGCAGCCGCGCTCGGGCCTTTGAAAGGCTGACTGGAGATCCATTTCACAGATAGTTTAATCTCAGCCGAAATGTGCAGAGCTAATCAAGCCCGTGCTGGGAAATGAGACCGCGATGAAGATCATCTGCTGGTCATAAAGACGTGATTCTTCAAACACTGATTATGAAATGTGAAACACGCTCTCCATCTGAATTGAGGCTAAGACCTTGCTTAATATATGAGCCGATGTCCCTCCCAGCCAGAATTTCCCCTCATGTTTCTCCTTCCCTTCCTTTATTTCCTCTCTCAGTAAATCTACTTGGCTAAATGAGATGGGATTGCAATTTTTGCTTGCAAAGTGATCTGTCTGCAGGAGAAATTAGTCATAACGGAAGCTGCAGTGGGAGCTGGAAGGGACATAAAGTACCCAGGAGGGAGGAGGTTCAGATTCTACAGTAGCTGTTTTAAAAAGATCAAATGATTGCTTTTCCTAAAATCCTTCTATGCATGAAGGCTCACCTAGGCATACAAGGGGGCTGGTAATCAAGACGTAGGTTAAAAAAAACTTAACCTTTCAAATGAATATTTTCAGCCTGGGGCTGTCTACAATGGTTATTAGTAATTATAATTGTTATTATTGTGGTAGTACTGGGTCTTGAAACTCAGTGTCTAGGTGCTATACTACCCTTTAGGTTTTTCTTTTTTTTGCTCAAAGCTGGCACTCTACCACTTGATCCACACCTCCACTTCTGGCATTTTGGTGGTTAATTGGAGCTAAGAGTCTCAGAGTCTCATGTACTCTTCCTGCCCTGGCTGGCTTCGAACCGTGATCCTCCTGATTTCAGCTAGGATTTTAAGTGTGAGCCGCTGCCTTCTGGCCAGGCTGTCCGCTCTCCTCCCAGCAGTGTCCTGGAACGGCCCCACCCTGTCACTCAGGCCCCGCCCCTGTGGGGCTGCACCAAATGGGAGACCTTCTCCAGGTCAGCCAAGAGGCCAGCAAAGCAGAAGAGCTCCAAGAGACATGGAGCTGTGGGTGGGCTTCTTCCCATGAAACAGCCCTGCCACCTTCCGGGTGGAGTGAGATCCAGAGGGCTTGCTCGTGTGTACCCATTTGGTTCCTGTGTGCTTTCATAAAGGTGCGTGCTCTGTTGGGGGCTACAACAGTCCCTGACCTCATGTAGATGCTACCTGTGGACTGCTGTGTGCCTTGCACGGTGTTCTCTGTGGATTACTACAACCGCCACGAGGCTTCCGAGGTGAAATGGAAACTCAGAGAGGAAAGCAAATATTCTATGATGAAGAGCCAAGCAGGGTGCGGACATTCGCCCTGCACGACTCCTTTGAAGAGGAAGTGCGCTTTATTCATTCATTTAGTCCAATCTCTGCCCTTCCGATCCTGCTCTCGTTGGGCGATTGCCGACTTTCCCCAGAATCTGTAAATGAGCCTGCTTCTGGCTGGCGCTGAACTTGAGAGGAGGCGCTGGGGGTCACGACCCCTGGCTCTCCATCTCCGTTGGAGACACTGTAAATGGCTTTGGGGCTAGCATTCACCCTTTTGCTTTCTTGCCGGAGAGCGTTAGAAATTTTTGTCTGTCATCCTAGACACTCAGGAGGCTGAGATCTGAGGATCCTGATCTGAAGCCAGCCCAGGAAGGAAAGTCCGTGAGACTCTCATCTCCTCATCTCCAGTTAACCACCAAAAAGCCAGAAGTAGGGCTGTGGCTGGCAGAGCACCTGCCTTGAACTCAAAGCGAAGGGACAGCGCCTGGGCCCTGAGTTCAAGTCCCAGAGCCTGAGTATGCGCATGCCCCCACTCCTTCTCTCCCCACAACATATCACACACATAAACTCCATTCTAGCAACAGGTCTATGAGCGGTCCTCCCGGAAGAGTTTCTGGGAGGACAAATTAAAACGGAGAGAGAATTTTACAACACGAACTCTAAAACCTTTCACACGTTTTCACCCAATGGTTAAATAAAAAATAAGTAAGCCAGGCGCCGGTGGCTCACGCCTATAACGATAGCTACTCAGGAGGCTGAGATCTGAGGATCGAGGTTCAAAGCCAGCAGCAAAGTCCGTGAGACTCTTATCTCCAATAAACTACTAGAAAACCGGAAGTGGTGCTGTGGCTCAAGCAGTAGAGCGCTCACCTTGAGCTGAAGAAGCGCAGGGACAGCGCCCAGGCCCAGAGTTCAAGTCCCACAACTGACAAAAAATAAAATTAAAAATTAAAAATTCCCCAGCAGGGTGGGGTCTAGCTGCAGCAGTGGTGCCTGGGAATATCTTGGTTGGTTGCAGGGAGAGTTGTCTGCTACCTGGACCTCGGTGTACAAAGGAAAGAGAGGCAGGCGTTCAGAGCGTGGATCTGGACCTCGGTGTACAAAGGAAAGAGAGGCAGGCGTTCAGAGCATGGATTCTTCTATCTGGGTAGTCCCACTTAGAAAATGCACATGTGGAATTCATCCAACTACTACGATCAATAACCCTGCTGTCCCAGGCACCGTTCATCTTTATTTTATGAATTTCTCACTTAAGTAAATGAAACATGTGACAATATTTCATTTAAAATAATCTATGTACATTTTTGTTTACAAGATGTATCCACTAAATTACAGCCTCCCGATAGACATCTTTTTCTTTTTTCCTTTTTTTTTTTTAAATGTGTGTCCTGGGGCTTGAACTCAGGGCCTGGGTGCTGTTCCTGAGTTGCTTTCGCTCAAGGTTAGTGCTCTACCCCTGGCCAGAGCCACAGCTTTTTGCTGTTTAATTGGAGAGAAGAGTCTCAGGAACTTTCCTGCCTGAGCTGGCTTTGAATCATGATCCTCAGCTCTCAGCCTCCTGAGTAGCTGGGATTACAGACGGGAGCCACGGTGCCTGGCTTCCTAGTGGATGTTTGTACTCTGCTGGGGAGGATCACACTTGTGGGCCGTAGACCAGAGGGTTCTGGGACGTATTTATTACCACATGGTAAGATGTTGCTGAGGGCTTGGCAAAATCACACATGATTTGTTTTTAATTTTTTAATATTTATTTAGTTTTTGACCGTCATGGGGCCTGAACTCTGGGCCTGGGCGCTGTCCCTCAGCTCTTCAGCTCAAGGCTAGCGCTCTACCACCTGAGCCACAGCGCCACTTCCGGCTTTTTTCTTTTTGCTTATGTGGCGCTGAGGTATCAAACCCAGGGCCTCATGCATGCAAGGCGAGCGCTCTACCCCTGAGCCACCTTCCCAGTCCCTGTTTTTATTTTTTCTGTACTGGGGCTTAGACTCAGGACCTGGAGCTCTAATTTAGTCCTTTCACTCAAGGCTAGCGCTCTACCACTTGAGCCACAGCTGCTCCATTTCCACATTTTGCTGTTTCATTGAAGATAATCTCATAGCGCCCCCCCCCTTTTTCTTCTTTTTTTGGCTGGGCTGGTTTCAAACTCTGTTCCTCCTATCTCAGCTGCCTGTGTTGGCGAAGGATTACAGGCATGAGCCGCTAGTGCTTGGAGAAATGATGCATCATCATCAGAAAAAGTGGAGTTCAGATTCAGGCTCTGCAGAAATAGTGGGTTAGATGAGATCGATATGAAAGTCCTTGGCCTGCAGCCCGGCTCACAGTTTCTCATGAGCAAAGGTATGTGTGCTCTTCCCTTCTAGATTCTTCCACCGGCTAGAACCCTACCAGCCTCCATGAACTGCATGGAGCTTTAGAAGCTGATGGTCTAACACTCCACCAGGGTGGGGAGCAGCTGCTCATGTCTGAATCTCAGGGCTCTGTTACTTACCTCTTGCTTCGTCTGCCTGCTCTGGCCTTGCTGGTCCAGTGGTGACGGGAGGGGGTCATCCATCACCGCCTTGAAATGGCGTGTGTCTGTGCAAAGAGAATGACATCCAACTCAGCACCCTGCGGTCGGCTGGATCTTCACCCGTTGGCAAACCCAGTCTGCAAACCCGCCAGGACACCCAGGCCCACCTGCACTTGGCCGATGAGTGTTGGCATGAAAGACAGCCACAGCTCTGCTCCGCGTTCACAGAAACCCAGGCTCTGGTCTGGACTCCCCGCAGTTCCTTCCGTCTGAGAAATTCTACCAACCCTGAAAGCGCGGAGCTAGGCCACACCTGGCCAAAGTTCCCCAGACCCCCCTGCCCCCCCCAGTCCTGCTCTGGATGCTCCAATCACGCTTCTCTGCCACTAGATCCACACCTGTCTGAGGAGAGTCGGCTTGTCCTGCGTCTCTTGAGCAATTCTAAGACCATGGCTTGTCGATCGGTGCTGATCTACAATCTATGAGTATCTCTGGTGACACAGGTATAGTAAATGAACAGAAGATGATCACCATTCTTTACAAGGTGATTTGCTCCAAAGAAAGTGATGTAGAGTTATTTCAGTGGGCTACACTCTCAGAAATCATACATATGTGTGTATGTATGTGTTTGCATATAGGTTTGTATATCTACACACACATGCACACTGTGCATGAATGTATGGGTATATATATTCAGGTGTATATGTGTACATCGGCATGCATGAATGTATGTGCATGCATATATTTGCATATGCACATGTGCATGGATGCATGCATCTGCATGTGTGCATGCATATCCACATGTTCATGTATATCTGCATATTATAGGTGTATATGCACATGTATATATGCATGAACGTGCATGTGTGCATGAATGCATATCTGCATGTGTGTGTATCTGCATGTGTATATGTGTACATGCACATGTATATATGTTATATATGCATATATGTGTATCTGCATGTACATGCATGTGTCTGCATGTGTATATATGCATTTTATGTTTATATATATATAACCACATGCATACATATACAACACATCTACAACAGTCTGAGTAATCCAACCTCCAGAGCCCCTGCTGGCAGCCCTGTGGACTCCAGGTAGGAAAAGGCAAAGTTGCATGTGGAACTAAGCCTGCCCACTAGGAATGAGTGGATTCACTGCTGTGTCTTACTACAAGTCATAGGCTGTCCACCAGCAATGTGAACATAAGACATAAGTCTTCCCACCATGCAACTCCGGGGTCACTTCTCAAGTGATGAACACTATCTCCCGATAGAGAAGGTAAGTACTAGAGACTTTTTCTGGGTCACCTGGCTGGGAAGCCCTGGAGGCAGGATTTCCCCCTGGGATTGTGTATCTCTGAATCATCTCTCCACGTCCTAGCGGCACAGATCAGAAGCACCTCCCGGGCCAGCCGGCTGTGTTACCTGCATACTCAGATTCCTTTAGTGGCCTGGCTGGTAAAATCTTCATGGTCGTCCACGCTTCTGCCAGCTGAAGCTCAGGGTCTTCGTAATTGTCATCAATGGGGTACGCGGCTCTGCTCAGGACTGCAGCCAAGTTCCTTTGCTAAGCATATGGGGCATCAGCGTGAGTGGAAGGAACAGGGTTTGTGGACAAAGTTCATAGCTCCAGTGGAGCTCAGGGAAGAAACAAAGTGCTTCAGTAGCAGATACAGGTCTAGGATCATACCTGGAAGCTTAAAATGAAGCTTAATTCTTGTGCTAGGCAGAGTTCTACAGATGTCTCCCTAATATTCCAAACCTATTTTAAAATTATTTATTGACTTTTGGTCAGTTTTGGGGCTTGAGCTCAGGGCCTGGTCACTGTCCCTGAGCTCTTTTGCTAGTGCTCTACCACTTTGGTCCACAGCACCACTTCCCATTTTCTAGTGGTTAATTGGGGATAAAAGACTCCTAGGGACTTTTCTGCCTGGGTTGGCTTCTAACTGTGATTCTCAGATCTCAGCCTCTTCCTGACTAGCTAGGATTACAGACATGAGCCACCAGCACTAGGCTTCCAAACCTATTTGGGAATTAGTCACCCACCCTGACATGCTCATGCATGCACATGCCCAAGAGTCAAGGAAATACAGATTATAGCATAACTCTGGCAACTAGAAGTCAGCAGACACTGTATGTAAAATTGGAGCAAACTATCTGGTAGAAAGCACCCAGTAAAGATCACCCAGACAGCTGCTGTTTTGCTTAGCACCACCAGAAGGAGCCAGAGATCAACAGACTCCCAAGCCTGTCCTCTCACGCCTCCCTTCCAGGACCCCCTTAACCTTTGCTCCATGCCTAATACGTGCTGGTGCTTTCTTCACTTTATTTCACAGCACATGCAGAAACCTCTAAGGGGTGTCTTGATTACCGTGGGAGGAACTGGGATTAGCAAGATTGAGTGTAGGGTCTCACTTTGCATCACCTTAGTTCCCTAACAAAGTACTTGGGGGGGTTAGCTCCCCAGCCCCAGATCTCAGCAGTTGTTATGGGTAATAGTAATGATGCCTCACTTCCAGGAAGCGTTCTCCCAGTTGTACTGCACAGGCCCCTCTGTGCAGGCATTTGGGGGCTCCGCTGGCTCAGAGCACTGCTGCAGGTAGGAAGCTGTGGTCTATGGGCAGCCAGAAGGGGCCTGGCACTGGGGAAGGTGGGCCTCACAGGAAGTCAGGAGTCAGGCACCGAGGAAGGTGGGCCTCACAGGAAGTCAGGGCCTGGCACCGGGGAAGGTGGGCCTC